ATTAGGTTTAGCGTTACGTTTAGGGTTAGGTTTAGCATTAGGTTTAGCGTTACGTTTAGGGTTAGGTTTAGTTTTACAGCGCGCTTCTGTCGCCGTGCTGTTGTCGGCGCAATTCAGCGCTCATTCGTCGGAGCGCTTTAGAACACGCGGTTTTGTCACCGCGGTTTAGTCGGGCGCGGTTTTGTCGTTCGCCCTTTTGTCGGTGAACCGTTCAAGCCAATTCCACTGTATGCCTGAGGTTGGGAAGTGGCAGCCACTAGGCCACACCTAGCCACACGAGGAAGCCCATTGCAAAGTATCAGAGACTGAGCAAAATCGTGGTATAAACATGACTGACTAGCTATCTTATGAACAAGGACTCCGTTATTCATAGACTTGCCACAGATAAAACCCAAGACCCTGGGATTATACAGCTGGAAAGCCCATTTAGCCCCAAACTCATTGATATGTGTCTCAGCAGCTGGGCGGATGAACTGGGTTTCCTGGCAATTCTTTATTTTCCAGTCATTTCCCTCCAAGTTACATTGCAATGTATTTCCCGCAAAACCACACACCATATGATGGCTGGGCTATCCAATATTACACTGGGTCACCTTTGATGGCTAACACTGTCCACCTGTTTGTATTTTCACTGAGCCAAGAGAAGCACTGAGATTTAAACCAACAACCAGCCACAGCCTTTTAGCAGTGTAGATATTGTATAGCCGGATCACTGAAGTAATAATTGCACTAAAACTCTGATATACAGCCATGCCAAAGCCAAAAGCATTTTTTTTTCCAATCATGCCAAGCTGATTAACATTATTTACAAAAAGATGAATGTGTTGCTGCAGCCGTGAATGCAACTTTAAGCAATAATTTGGGTAGTTCTTTTGATTTGAAAGGAAAATATTAACTTTGGAACCAAAGAAAGCAAATCATATTACACTCCAAGATATGATTATGAACCTTCATATGATGAAGCCCCAGCTCCCGAAGATGAAAGCTCTGTGTTTTATAAAAAGACAAGAAATTGCTTAGCAAACAAGACAACAGATTCAGCAAATGTATTAAACATTTTACTCAAGATTAATCTTAACAAATTGGGAGTATCAAAGCTCATAAGAACTTAACAGCAGCTACAACAATTAATTACACCATCACTATGGCGATAATCATACAACTGTACATTTTGTTGCCATGACTACAATAAATTGGGCAGTGAGGAGCATCTCAAAATAATCCTATCTCATTTTTTAAAATCTAAAGTGTCTCTAGCAAGGGTAGCCATAGAACACTATAAAAAGTCATAGTACTATTTCCTACTATGTTAGGTTTGTTGGTTTTTACTATTGTTTTGTTTTAAAAGACTTACCCATTAACTTCAACAAGAGATAAAGTATGAACAGGATTAAACCACTACCGCTAGCTCTATTCTGAATAGTTTAGACAAATGACAGATATTATCAAGTAAGAAACATTCCATCAAACCACACNTGTATGAATGTTGTGCTTTTAATGATGTACTGTCTTATGTGTTAATCTGTTTGTTCTCCCTTCCTTCCGAATTGTAAGCCGCCCTGAGTCCCCCTCAGGGAAAAGGGCGACATATAAATAAACTACTCATACTCATACTACTCATACTCATACTCATACTCATACTGGTTGCCGGTTGTCTTCCGGGTGCGATTCAAGGTTTATCACTTTAGGTTCTGAAGCCGCCTAGAGTTATCCTATCGGGGAAATGGGCACCATGCAGATTTCATAAACTTTCTTTTTAAAAATGTCCAAATCTAATTTACAAAAGCTTATACGCTGGGATTTTCTGATGGTGTCTAAGCATTAGAAAGATCAGCTAGCTCAGGGGTCCCAAACGTGGCAACTTTTAAGACTTGTGGACTTCAACTCTCGGAATTGAAGTCCACAAGTCTTAAAGTTGCCAAGATTGAAGAGCTGTGAGCTAGATGATGCTTCCTCCTGTACCGAGTTGTGTACCGAGAAACAAAACGCCACTTACCTCTACAATTAACACATCATCGCTGGGTATAGTTTCAATTTTATTGGCGTGTGGCTTGCTATCGAGCACCGTAGACAGTTCAACCAGGATTCTCCCTCTGTAAGAGACGCCTTCTTCCTACAACCCAAGCAAGTTTTCTTCAGTGTACAGTTAGCACAATATTCTACATTACAAATACAGCACCGTATTCTTCAGTTGACATATCGAATCCTACAGAGCGGAGTAAAAGAGTTCTTTGCTTTATAAAGATACACTGACAATGCTCCGTTCCAGCTTTTGCTACTGAACCCAAGAAAACAGGTTTCAGCAGGTGTTGTAAGATGGGAGGGTTTTTTTGAGCCTTTCAAAGTTTGAAAGTGCCTTGGATTTTGGTTTGTTTAAAAATGACTTTCTTCTCCTGGTTGTGTTAACGGTTCCACCACAAATCCGCGGTAGACTAAAGCGCGCTCGACGAAAGCGCGTATGTGACGTCATTACAGCGCGACGAAAANCTTCTAACCGGTTCGGTAGATTTGACGAACCGGTTCTACCGAATAGGTGCGAACTGGTAGGAACCCACCTCTGGGGTGGGGCCAATCAGAGGTGGTATTTAGTGGTTCTCCAAACTACTCAAAATTTCCACTCTCGGTTCTCCTGCTGAATACCATCTCTGCCCACAAGTTATGTTGGGCTGAGACAAAATAACTGGCCCCTGAGCTAAAAGTTGAAATCCACACATCTTTAAGGTGTGGGGTTAAAGAAACACCAGCCTAATTAGAGCATTTAGATTTCCTGGTGTTTTCTCATTGTAAATTTGACCTGCAAGCTCTTTTCAAGATCAGCTAAGGTTATCTAAGTGCTAGTACTAATTTTGTAGGTTAAAAATTGGAAGCAAATAACGAAGTTATCAAACGGAGAGGGGGAAGGGGGGGGAGGGAGGGAGAAAGAGAAGAGGGAGAGAGAGGAGGGAGGGAGAGGAAGAGAGAGAGAGAGATATTGAGATTTCATACAATTTAGGGGTGGAGTAAAAAAAGTCAAGATGGTAGCCAAAACTGTGTCATCAAAACATTTACCTGCTTTTTTGACCATAGCTCTGATTTATATAACAAAATGTAAAAAAAATATTTCCTCTTTAAATAGGGTAGGATCCCCAACTGCAATACTCACCATCAAATACGGGCCGGCTGTACTGGGTGGTCGATGCCAATGGTTTACAGGTGTTGTCAAATTTATTGCCATAATTGCCAATGCTAACTTCAAACTGGATGGGCTCCCCAATATCTTGCAACATGGTGGCAGAATGAAACACGGCACAGAGGCTGTATTTTCTTCTGCGCTGGTATTTCTAGAGGATCAACGAACACGATGGTTTACTTATATTTAAGTAAGTTTACTGAGGTTTACCCTAAAGTTTTAATGGATTAATTGTTATCTGTAGCAGGATAACATATTTGCTTAGGCCTAGTGGTCAGAGTGCAGTATTGCAGGCTAAGAAAATGCTCGCTGCCAGGAGTTCGATTCTAATCGGCTCAAGGTGGACTCAGCCTTCTATCCTTCCAAGGTCCATAGAATGAGGACCCAGATTGTTGGGGAGAATATGCTGACTATGTAAACCACTTAGAGAGGGCTATAAAGGACTGTGAAGTGGTATATAAATCTAAATCTGTGCACAGCCACTCATGCCCTCGTCCTTTCTCGCCTGGACTACTGTAACGCTCTCTACATGGGGCTGCCCTTGAAGAGCACCCNGCTTTCCGGGTCCACTGGTGGAACCTCTTCTAACCGGTTCGGTAGATTTGCCGAACCGGTTCTACCAAATAGGTGCGAACTGGTAGGAACCCACCACTGATTTACACTAATGAAAACTCTGAAATATCACAAAATCTCTGTTAGAATTTTGGCATTCTTATGTATAGTAATATATTGTGAAATTGTAATAATTTAACTGGGGGATAGCATAGTTATTTTAGAGGTAACAGACAGCCCATGAAGTTAAAGATGCTGCATGACCAGCCTATTCTGAGAAACTGGATATATAAATCTAATGCTGGAAATTCATAATGCATGCATTAACATTAAATAGTTAATAATAATAATTGATTTAAATTAGTCCCAGGCTACTTACCAATTTTACTATCATGGCAAGAATCAAGTTTAAAGGATCCAATCTATGGCTTATATCCTCCCAGTAGGAAGTCAATGTTACTACTGGCTTTGTGTTTCCCCATGGTAAATAATAATAATAGTTTCCTAAGATGAAACATTGATAGATGAATAGTCATTTATTTATTTCATGAGATTTATATTCCACCTTTCGAGCTCAAAGGAGCTCAAAGTAATATACATACACAGCATTTCTTTCTCAAATTTTTCACCAGAATAAACCCCCACAAGCAGTGGTGGGATTCAATTTTTTTTAACTTCGCTTCTGTGGGCGGGGCTTGGTGGGCGTGGCATGGCTTGGTGGGCGTGGCAGGAGAAGGATACCGTAAAATATCCATTCCCACCCCATTCCAGGGGAAGGTTACTACAAAATCCCCATATCCTCCCAATCAGCTGTGACTTGGGAGGCAGACAATAGATGGGAATGGGGCAGTGGTGGGTTTCAAAAAATTTTGGAACCTACTCTGTGGGTGTGGCCTCCTTTGTGGGAGTGGCTTGCCGGGCATGTGACCTGGTGGGAGTGGCTTGCAGGTCATGTGTTTACTTTCTTTCTCTCTCTCTCTCTCTTTTCCTTCCTTTTGTCTCTCTGTCCCTTTTTTCTTTCATTTCTCTCTCACTCTTTTTCTTTCTTTCTTTTTTCTTTCTTTTTTATTTATTTATTTCTTCCTTTCTTTCTCTCTCTCTCTGTGTCAGTCTGTGTGTGTGTGTGTGTGTGTGTGTGTGTGTGAGTGGTGGGTTTCAAAAATTTTTGGGAACCTCTTCTGTAGGTGTGGCCTGCTTTCCGGGTCCACTGGTGGAACCTCTTCTAACCGGTTCGGTAGATTTGATGAACCGGTTCTACCGAATAGGTGCGAACTGGTAGGAACCCACCTCTGATCTGATAAATGGTTATCCTCCCCTAATTAAGTGGGGAAATATACAGAAGTCTTTCAGTTTTCTTAAAGCAAATGAAAGTTTTCTTTCATTTCTCTCTCACTCTTTTTCTTTCTTTCTTTTTTCTTTCTTTCTTTATTTATTTCTTCCTTTCTTTCTCTTTCTCTCTCTCTCTCTCTCTC